CCTGAGGGAAGACACTTCCTGGATGGACACCAGGTGAGCAGCAGTGTGGAGTGAAGACACCCAGTGCTCTGGGGAGGAGCCTAGCCGCCAGGGGAGGCAGAGGGTGAGCCACACCCAGGAGGGGCCTCTCCTGCAGCCCTGGGGTTTCCAAAGGTTCCGGCCATGCACCCAGGAGTCCCGGTTTTGAGCATGTGCACCCTATAAGCACAATTATACTTATTGTGATGCACCACAATATATTTGCAATAGACAAAGAGTATTAAGGAAGCAAGATAGACTCCAAAATAGATGCTGAAAATAAAGTGAAGGTAAAGAAAATATCTAAATCATTTTCTGTGAGAGGCACTTTTCTCCCACAGTGCATGCTCATGATGAAGACTTTTCAGCCGTGCTACATCAGCTCTGAGTGGTGCAGCTGGGTCTGCAAGGGCTCCCAGGAGAAGCACTGTGGATGCTTCATGGGGCGCAGTTCCTATTCCCAGGCCCAGGGCACACTGCAAGGACAGAGCCAAGCTGCCTGCCCCTGTGCAGCCTTGGCCATGTGGGTCACGCAGTCGGCGCTGCAGCAGGTCACAAATGAGCTGCACAGCTATGGAGAGTCCCCAGCCTGGCAGACTCCACCTCCACCTGGCCTCAGATCTGGAGGGTGCCTGGGCCTCCTATGGCCTACATGCAGTGCCCGCCTTGGGGGAGGGGTCCCAGCACAGATTCAACTGTGGGTAGAAGATAATGGGGGAAATCATATCTGTCATTACTCCCTAAACAGTACAATAGCATTTACATTGTATTAGGGGTTATAAGTCATCCAGAGACAATTTAAAGTCCACAGGGTGATTGCTCAGGTATATGCAGATTTTAAGCCACTGTATGTAAGGGACCTTAGGATATTTATACTTATTTTGGTGTTTATTTATTTTTTTTTTTGGCAGAGGGTGTTCCTGGAACCAATGCCCCACAATTTCTAAGGAGGACTGTATTCTTCAAGCTTAATTGTGTGTGTGTGTGTGTGTGTGTGTGTGATAGTGGAGATTAAATCTAGGGCTTCCCACATACCAGGCTTGTGCCTTACCACTGAGTACATGTCCAGGCCATTTTTTTTTTAAATCTTGAGACTTAATGGGCTTAATGAATTGTGAAGGCCAAGTTGCCATCCTTCTACTTCAGCCTCCCAAGTAACCTGGATTATAAGTGAGCACCACCATGCCCAGCAAAAAATCAGTGTTGTTCCCGCCCCCCCCCCCATGTGTTTTCATTTCTGGGCTATCCCAGCACCCAGTGCTGGGGTGGAACCCAGGGCTTTGGGAATGCTAGGCAAGCGCTCTACCTGTGAGCCATACATCCCACCTACCCCCGCTCCCCATGCCACCAAGTTATTCTCAGATAAAAGGAGCCTCAGGAAGCAGGGCAGGGCAGGGACTGCTGGCAGGCAACACCCAGAAGGAGTGTGGACTTCAGGACCCTGATGCTCAAAGGGCTGCTGGAAAAGGGCAGTAAGCCAGCCAGGCCAAGAAAAGGGAAGGCAGGTGGTAGGCTGGATTCTGCCCGCCAGACAGAAGGGACCTGGACCTCGGGACTCGTGGTTAGTGGAGAGCAGACAGCCCCGCCCATGGCCAGTTTCTACACAATTGGTTACGGCTGGGGCCACGGGTTCCATGCTTCTGATGCCGTGGGTGCTGGAACCCCACCTTTGTCCCACCTGGTGCATGGACGTCGGGGAGAGCGCAGAAGCGGGTGGAACCTGGAAGGAGGCACCAAGCTGGAAGAAGGACCGCACACAGGAGGCGCAGGGCACGGCGGGACAGTGGAGTGGGCAGCCCTGTCAAGTGGCCCAGCGGCCCAGGGGGAAAAGGTGGACCCCAGACCTGAAGACAGAAGGTTCCCAGGGTCCAGGAGGGCCTCTGCGGGAGTCAAGACCAGATTGTAGGAGGCCGAGACGTGAGGAGATGGGGCTTAGGAGACGTTCTTTCCAGAAGAACATGCAAAGGAAAAGAGGAGTGAGGGGGGTTTATTTTTGTCTGTTACTTGCTTTTTACTTTTTTCTTATCGTGTTAAGATGTTCATGGAGTTTACCGTTGTGATCAGCGCTAGGCAGGCAGCCCTGATGTAGTGCTGGGCGACCACTCTCCACCACGTGCGGAGCTCTCATCTGCCCAGCCCAAACTGTCCCCACTAAAAAGCAACCATTCCAGTTCCTCCAGCCTGGCCATCTCCCTCTCTTGCCCCTTGAATCTGACCATTCTGGGCACCTCTAGTAAGGGGGATCCCACGGTCCTTGTCCACCTGCGGCTGGCTTCCTTCCCGCAGCCTCGTCTCCTCAGGTCCGCCCTCACTGTGCCTGGGTCAGGGTGCCCTCTCTTGCCAGGCTGATCGGGTTCTAGCGTGGCTATGTGGGGTTTTGCTTGCCCATTCACCAGGCAGTGGACACCGAGATGTTTCCACATTCAATAATGCTTCCATGAGCACAGATGACCAAGCCTCCCTGAGGCCTCGCTCTCCTTCCTTTTTAAGATGAGAACGGCTGGGCACACAGTGAGGATGTGCTGAAGAGTAGCCCAGTAGAGAAGGAGTTGAGAATGGGAGAGAGGCTTGTGCCACAGAGGAACCTTTGGGGGAACAGAGAGGCCCAGAGCACAGATGAGGGGCTGGGCAAGCCAAGGCACATGACACAACCGCTCCTGATGAATGGCCTCCATGTTCTCAGAGAGGGGCAGCAGCAGGGTGGCACTAGGTCATGGCTCTGGAGACTGTGAAGGGCAAGAAGCACCTTGGGGGGGTGTGGGAAGTGGACTTAACCAGGGGGGTGCGCAGAAATGATGACCAGGGACCGTGCCAGGTTTTGCTGCTCCTAAGAGCACACTGCGGCCCGGGCAGGCACAAAATGCAACAGGTGGTGTGTCTAAGGTCAGGCAGAGCTGGCAGAATGGCAAGAAAGCAGAGGTAAGGGGCTGGGGACAAACTGGAGGGAAGGGGTTGCCCCTGATCAGGCTAGACTTGGAGTTGAGAGGAGTCACAGACTGAATACATTCACACTCCTCAACTCAAATTATTTTAAATGAACTAATGGAGTAACATAAGATTTAGCATACCCAGGCCTTGCTTCCTGTGCCAGGAGCCAGTGAATACCATGGGGTCACCTAACCTCAGGTGCCCCATCTCGGCTCCCAACAGTCAGGTCCCTTCTCTTTTTGTCCACTAGAGGGCAGATGGCATTTTATTCATAGCACCCAAGGGGTGTGCTCAGCAGTCTGGATGCTCACTTTTTTATTCTTAGTCAAATTCTAGAACCTGGTCTGTCTCTCACCTGCCCCCCAACACACCTGTGCCAGGTGCTCCTGCTATGACAGATCACATGTGGTCCCAGACACTACATGCCTACTTTAACCATGGAGTGTGGTGATGCAGGGAAGCCTAGGAATGCCCTCCAAACCCCACCCCTCCTTCAGGACTCCAGGGTCCTCACATCCTGAAGCATCTCCCAACAACTCCCTCGCACACTCACAGCCCTCCAAGCACTCTGATCTCCCAGCTCAGGGAAGAAGCAGTATTCACATTTAATTTCCAGGTTTAAACAGTCAGGCCCAATAATTGATGCCACTAGAGTTCTGGTTCTGTTATCAGTTAAAAAAAAAATTTAAACCACAATATCTCCCAAATTTCTCTCTGTACTTCTTTTTTATTAAATGTTATGTGAACTTCCTGAGACGATGTTTGAACCATCAGGAGACATAGTGGCCTGCTATGGACTTTTTGCATCTTTAGATCACACGCCAATGCTCTGGTGCCATCTCACACGAGTACTATGTCTTTAGTACTTTAGGCATAAAAACATAAAGGGAAAGAGCTGGGTTTACCCTCTAATCCATTTCTTGTTCTATTGCTCCATCTGCTGGCCAGCTCATAGAACATCTTCACCAACCTTTAAGTCCTTCCTGGAAAAGTTAATCTCCATATGGTACTCATTCCAAATTGTGTCCCAAAAGTGAAAGCACGTGTGAAACCATTTTTTCTTTTCAAGTGTCTTGCCTTTTCTCGTCATTTATCTAAATGTGAATGACTCCAGAATCTCAGATCTTGCCCCAAATTTCTCAGACTCCTCTAAGCAAAAGAACGATTTGGCATCACTTTTAAAACACAAATTCCTAGCTCCCATCCCAAACCTACCAAATAAGGATTATCTGGGAACTTATATTTTTCTAAGTTTACCCAGTAGGTTTTACACTCAGTCTAGTATGGGAAACAACTGAAATTTAGCCCACCCCCTTGAGAATCCCTTAGGAGACTGTAGAATAGGGAGCTTCCTAGTTTGACAAATAAGCCTGTCCCATTTTACAAGACTTAACTGGAATGACTTTGCCTCAGTGAGGAGGGCACCTAGCTCGGGGTGGATCCCAACGAGCTTCTTCTAGCTCACCTGCAACCGCTTAGACCTTTAGCGAGTCCCACCTGAGGGAATGCTAGCCCTCCAGGTGAATCTGAGGCAGGTAAAGCCTCCCTGCGGGGCTGGGTCTCCTGCACGCTCCAGATGCACACCTCGTGGATTTGGAAAGCTGCTTTTAGGTACCCGCCTCCTGGCACTGGAGACAGTTTTATTTTCCTTGAGGACAAACTTCGAACCCCTTTTCTGATGGAAGAAACAGCCTGTGATTTCACGGGCCAGCCCACAGCTGAGTCCACTCTTCCACCCCAGGGCGCCCTCCGGATGCCCAGCTGTGCACAACCTCCACGCCCACGCAGGGCCGCCACGTGCTCCGGGCCGCTCGGCCCGCGGGGGCGAGGCCATGTAGCCCCACCCCGGGAAACGGCCACCCGCGCGGCAGCCAATCAGGGCGCAGCGCGCGCGCCGCGCCGTTGGCTCGGGAGTCACGTGCTCTGCTGCCGCCTCGCTCCAGACCGTGTACGTCCGCGGTAAAGGAGGGCCGCGCCGTGCAGCCCGGGAGTCCGGAGCGAGCCCGCGGCGAGGCCGGGGCTCCAGGGCGGCGGGGCAGCGGCGCGAGGCGGCGGAGGGATCGGGCCGTTGCGGCTGTTGGCGGTGCGACCCCGCGGGTGCGAGGCGGCGCGCTCTCCTGAGGTGGCCCTGCTCCTTCGGCTAGGCGGCTGTGACCCCGCTCCCCAGTGCCTGCGGCCTGAGTCCGCACCCAGTGAGGCAGGCGAGGCCGCGGGCGGGCGGGGTCTCCACGGGTCTCCTCTCCCTGTGTGCTCACCCGTGCGTGCACCCCCACCTGTACCTGCACCCCGCCTCTCCCTGTGCGCCCACCTGTGCCTGCACCCCACCTCTTCCTATGTGCCCACCTGTGCCTGCACCCCGCCTCCCCCTGTGCGCCCACCCGGCCTCTCCCTGTGCACCCACTCATGCCTGCACCCTGCCTTTCCCTGTGTTCCCAACCTGTACCTGCACCCCATCTCTCCCTGTGCGCCTACCCGTGCCTGCACCAGTAATACCACCTGAGTCCGCACCCCCATGGGTACCTGCACTCCCACCTCTACCTTGTCCCACCCCTATGGCACCAGTATCCCCACCCCACTCTCTACCTGTTCCTGCATCTGCCCACGGGTCACTAAACCTGTCCTTTGTTTCGTTGCCGTCCTGAGGTGGTTGACCAACCTGAGTCAGGCCGTTGACCATGACTGGGGGAGTTAGGGTGCTTCCATACTGGGTTACCCAACACAGTTGCATGGTCCAGACCCCTTTTTAGGCTAGGGAGGTAAAGGAGTGGGTGCAAGAAAAGGCTTTGCCTTCCTAGGGGGCTGGGAGTCGGGAGCTGGAAAGTAGGGAAGTATTGGCATAAAAGGGACCCTGCTGGGGTGACCTTAGAGCAGTCTGGGAGGCAGGAGGCTTCCCTATGGTTTGGGCTGGGCCTTCCTAGGGGGGCCAGTGAGCTCAGGGCTGGGTATAGGGGGAGAAAGGGGGAGGCTGTGTGATAGGACAAGGATTTGCTGTGCTTTCTAATTCCACCGGAAGTGTGGTCCAAAACTACCTACAATGTTTTTCTTTTTTTATTGTGGCAAAATAGTAACAAATTTGCCATCTTAGCCACTTTTAAATACATTACAGCGGTTTTTGCTAGTTGCCTCTTGTTTTGAAGTTAAAGTTGATAAATCATTTTGACTTAAATGCTCTCTAGCTAGTGTAGTTGTTGGAAGCACAAACTTAATTTCTCTCGTTAGGTGTGCCTACACCAACATCCAGATTGGGATATTTTTGTAAGTGAAAGGAGACCAAGCTGAAAAGTGAAGTTCCCTGGGTAAGCTGGACAAGGTGCACTTGTTTACGTGAACAGTACTCTGCAGTGCTGCTCAACCTGGGGTCATGAGAACCATCCAGAGGACTGCTGCAAACAGGTCCAGCTTGGGCTGGATGAAGGGGACTCCCCCATCCCCCATACACACGACCATGTTTCCAGCAAGTTGCAGACACAGCCAGCCAGAGACCACTTTGAGAACTGCTCTGTTACTTAAGAGTATTCCCTATTGAGAGGGCAGTTCAGCTTATTGCTAGTTTGATTTGGGGTTTTTAAAAAGATATTTGCATGATTATTGCACTGGACTAGGTGAGAAGGACCAAATTGTGGTGAGCCCCCTGTGTGGCTATCACGTGTGAGGCAGAGCCCTTGCCTCATAGCTAGGAGGCCTCAGGTCTGGTCTGAACCAGAAGGCTAGGTACCATGTGGTGTAGTGGCTGCTGCAGCTGGTGGACAGCCTTGAGGAACGTGGGGGAATAATACCGCTGATGTGGGCCTTAGAAGAGAATGAGCCAGACTCTTCTAGTTTAGAAAAGGTGTGGTGAGCCATGGTGTAGGGGATTCAGGGGCTTGACTGTGGCTGCCGGGGGAGGGGCTCTTGCTGAGTCTCAGCGGCAGGTGAGTTGAGAGTGCTTGGGCAGCCCTTCTCCTGGGCGTGTTGTGAATGCAGCGTTTCGGGCGAGATTTTGTACGAGATGCAACGTGCTGGCCTCTGAAGGTTGCCTTGTGTAACCCGAGTGGGAACTGATGTTTTAGAGTGTGTGGCTTGCTCACAGTCACCTGTCTGCAACAGGCAGCAGCTGGTTTGGGCACTGGAGCTCAGGAGCTATTGCCTTCTCTGTGGCAGGTGAGAGGTGATGAATCTGAAGCCTTCTCATGGTGGACTCTTCTGAATGCAGCTGTAGGAACAGTTTAGAAATACAGACCCATCATTTCTCTTCAGAGGCAAAGGGTGCTGATGTCCTTTCAGGAATGAGATGCAGTTGAGGAGGAGGGAGAAGTTGGGGGGCAGGAGCCAAGCAGATACAGCAAGTGTGCAGAAGGAAGAGCCCAGGGGCTTGCTGGAAACATGCCAGTTTTGTGACAGATTATACCAGGGTGTGCAGTACCCAGGTGGAGAGCCTGTTGCCATCACTGAATTCTCGGGACACTTTGCCCCTCCTGCGTCAGTCCATACTGATTCTCTTGGAAACTAAACCTTGTGTTGAAATGTTTTCCACTTGGCCCTACCACCTGGGACAGTGGCCAGGCCAGCTTGTGGGATGTAGGAATGGGTGTTTCCCTGAGAAACTGCTGAGAAGAGTCCAGCATGTGTGATAATCGAGGAGCTTATCTTAGGATCTTAATGTTTAAAGGTAACCTTGTAGGAATGGCCAGACGTGATTATGCATGACATTGTCTTCACAATTATTTCCTCTCTAGAAAAGATGACTGGGCGAGCCAGAGCCAGAGCCCGGGGAAGGGCCCGCGGTCAGGAGACGGCACAGCATGTAGGGGCAGCCGCGGTGAGCACTGTTTTTTTCTGCCTCATAAGGGTCTTAGAGACCATTGACCACCTTGGGCTCCCATGTAGCTCAATGGTAGAGCCCTTGCCTAGTAGCTGGGAGGCCCCAGGTCTGATCTCCAGCACCAATAAATAAATATCCAAAACAGCTTTGTTCTGGGAAGAAGCTGAGAACTGAGCACCTGTCTGACAAACTGGCTCTTGACATCATTTGTGACTCTTGCCTCAAAGGCATTTCTTTTTTAAAACAGAACACTCGGGAATCTGGGAGGTGGTGTTTGAGTGGCTGGGACTGGGTTAATCTGGTCTCGCTGGTACCTGGGCTCTTGACCTGAGAGTGGCTCTTCTTTGTGCATCAGCAGAGTCAGCAGCCAGGGTACATTCAGCAGAGACCTCAGCAGCCACCAGCAGAAGGGGACTTGGTCGGCCGAGGACGGCAGAGAGGAGCAGCAGGAGCCACAGCCAAGCCACCAGGTGGAGGAGAGTGGGAGGGACCTGGAGCAGCCATGGGGTGTGCAGTGCTGGCCCTGGGCAGCTCTTACAGGGCCCAGCAGGTCTCTGCATAGCCCACAGGTGCTGGGGGCACCAAATTTCTTTTCTGCTTGAAAACAAAGACTGTAGACTTGCCAAGGCCTATAGTAGTGATTACAAAGTGATTAAATTTCAAATCACTCATCAGTTTGCTTATTGTGCCTAAATAAGCCATTTTAGACCATTTCTTGGCATCATTAGTAATCGCATCAAAAGCTGGGCTAACTTGAGTAGAGAACTAAAAGCAGTTACATGTCTGATGGTGAGGAGGTTCCACGTCGTGTGGTAGGCTTGGGTCTTCCATTATGGGTTCTGGGTGTGAACCTGGTCAGCCCCCCGTTGCTGCAGCTCCACGTGGCATGACAGATGTCAGGAGATACCAGGGTGGAGGTCTTTAAAACTCCAGATAGTAGAAGCCTGGCCAGGGGTCTCCCCGCAGAGGGGTGCCATGGAGATGTGCCATGGGGAGCAGCCCTCCGCAGGAGGGCATAACACTGCCATTCTCTTTCAGCCTGGCATTGCCCATGTGCTCCATCTTCCCTCTTTTCTTTCAAGAGCTCCAGATTTCAGCTGGGTTTCAGGAGCTGTCGTTGGCCGAGAGAGGAGGGCGGCGCAGGGACTTTCATGACCTCGGTGTGAACACCAGACAGAACCTCGACCATGTCAAGGAGTCCAAAACAGGTGAGTGGGCAGAACATTTCAGAAGGTCATGTTCAGGCTCAAAGAACCTAGACCATGCATGTCAAGGAGTCCAGGACAGAGTTGGCAGACCATTTCAGGAGGTCACTTCCAGCACAAGGCAGGGAATGGAAGCGTATTGTCTTACTGTTTGTATGAAGCCCTCAGCGTTGATGGAATGGCTGGGGTGTCTGGGACTGCACACCGTGTTACTGTATTAGGTAGTACATGGGACCCTTCAACACCATTTGCCTTAGAGACAGCTGGTTTTTGATGTGAATCCCTTGGTCCAGGGAGGGTTTGTTCCCAAACACTGGACTTCTCTAGAAGTCCCTGAACAAGTAGGATAGTGGTGCCCAAGTCCGGGCTCTGGGAACCGGATGCTGACTGCTGCTCTGAGCTCTGTTCTCAGAAGGCAAGATTCCAGGAAGGACACTCTGGACTTGTGCTAACCAAGTGTGGCTGGCTCTGCAGGATCTTCAGGCATCATAGTGAGGCTGAGCACCAACCACTTCCGGCTGACCTCCCGTCCCCAGTGGGCACTCTACCAGTACCACATCGACTACAACCCGCTGATGGAGGCCAGGAGGCTCCGCTCTGCGCTCCTCTTCCAGCATGAAGATCTCATTGGAAGGTGTCATGCTTTTGATGGAACAATATTATTTTTACCTAAAAGACTACAGCACAAGGTTATTTCACATGTCTGGGTGGGGAAAGGGTGATGGGGATTTTGGAAGAGGCCCTGGGGGTCTCCTGTCCATTGCCCTGTGGCTACCCCAGAGGCCACACTGGCATCACGTGCCTTTGTCAAGTCCACCAGGAAACTGAAGGACTACAGTAAATTGTGATGGGGGCTCGCTCACTCTTCCTCCTAGCCCTTTTCTAAAAGTGCCATTAAAAAATGTACTTCTTAGGCCTGGGGATGGGTGTAGTTCAGTGGTAATGCGTTTGCCTGGAATGCACGTGAGGCCATGGGTTATGTCCCCAGTACTGCAGTCCATCCGTCCTTCAATGATGACTTTAGGGTTGCCTTATTAAAGAGGCACTGTGTACTGGGCTTGGTTTCCATAAGAATTGGAAGCTGGTCTCCCACCCCGTTGGCTGCAGGTCACAGAAGTGTTCAGCCAAACCCGGAATGGAGAGCATGTCCGGATCACCATCACGCTGACCAATGAGCTCCCACCCACATCGCCAACCTGTCTGCAGTTTTATAACATCATATTCAGGAGGTGAGTGTGGTTAAACTCTTTTGAGTATTTTATTAAGGATTTAAAACACAGAAAAGCTGGAAGAAGTGTATAGGGAATACATGTGCACCTGTTACCTGGGCTTTGCCATGTTGGGTGAGCCAGTGTCTCTGGATTGCCATGATTTTAACTGTCATGTCTTATCATCCCAGGTGGGAATGATAACCTAGGAAAACAGATTGAGCAACAAATATGCCACTTAGGGTAATTTTTAGAATAATGTGTTTTAAGAACTTTTTCCTTTTTGAGAAAATAGGTGAATGATTAGAACATTCGAAGATTATATATATATATGTAAAAACTATGTAAAGGCCTCCAAGTTCTAGGTTTTGATCCACAACCTGGCTTTATGCCCTGTGTGACTTCATTGCAATATTCCTGGGATTGAAACCGGGGCTGGATGGGTTCAGGTGTGGTTTATCAGCATGCAGTTTGCTTCAAGCCAGCCCTTAACTTTAATTTCCCTGTTTGTGTTGATGTCAGGTCCTCAAAACCCTGCCTGTGCTGGGCCAGGGTCACCCTTCCCTGGGGGGCTCTGGTTGGGAGGGGTGGGTGAGACCTCTCCACACCTTCCTATGGCGAGAGATGACAGCAGCTGGCTCGTACTGGTCGTCAGTGTGCATACCATATCTTCCAAAGCTAAAATAAAGACATGCTGGCAGAGAGTTTATTTTCTGGGTGACAAGAATCTGAAGGCTGAATAATGGGCTATGATACTTGGATTTGTAATTTACCTTTTAAAATTGCTCATAGAAAATTGTCCCTTATTTTGAATTAATGTGATTGGTACATCTATAGATTTCCAATCAAGGCTGGCAGGGTGGCTCTGCAGAGGGCTGCCTGGTCAGCACCATGCCTTCCCAGCCTCAGCTGCTGGGCCTAAGGAGCCTCAGGCAGCAAGCAAACACCAGGGCTGGCTTCCAGGAGAACCTAACTGATAGACATGCAAATCGGAATTTCATGTAATTCGTGTGTCTTGGGATCTCTTTTCCCAAACTCTGAAACATTTGGAACTCGTTGCTGGGTCCCAGGCACATGAGGACCAGTCCTGCCCAGAGCAGCCTGCTGTCCCATAGGCAGGACTGGATGCTTTCCACCCTCACTTTTATAACTACTCACTTTCTACTTCCCAGGCTCTTGAAAATCATGAATTTGCAACAAATTGGACGGAACTATTATAACCCAAGTGACCCTATTGATATTCCAAATCATAGGTTTGTATGAAATGGGAAATCCTACGTTTTTCTCTGCACAGACTTTGAGAGTGGTGGTCTGATGTGACAGTATCTCTAATGGTGCATGTCACATAGGGGAACATGTAACTTGGTTTGCCTAAGAAGTCACCCTGCAATACTTGGATTCAAGGACAAAGCAACATAATAACATTGATGTTGCCAGAGATGCATAAGCATCTATCCAGCACTCAGTTTGAGCTTTGCCCTCCGGTGATGAGGTCCCCAGGCAGAAGTCACTGTGCTGTCACAGCTATGGCCCAGGTGGTTTGGGTTTGTTGTGATGCAGGCACTTGCAGCAGGTGGATCAGTGTAAAGGAGAGCCCAATCAAGTTCATGTGTTTGTTTAGAAGGGAACCTCTAAACGATCATTACTACCATATGAGGCTATTGAAGCCTTGAAAGGTCTCTTTGGAGCCGAGGGACCCAACTTGAAGTAGCTTGCACTGGTGTCTGGGCCCCCGTGACCAGCGCTGTCCTCAACAGGTTGGTGATCTGGCCTGGCTTCACCACTTCCATCCTTCAGTACGAGAACAACATTATGCTGTGTACCGATGTCAGCCACAAAGTGCTGCGCAGTGAGACGGTGCTGGACTTCATGTTCAACCTGTACCACCAGACAGAGGAGCACAAGTTTCAGGAACAAGTTTCCAAGGAGCTGATAGGGCTGATTGTTCTGACCAAGTAAGCCTGCTCTTTAAGTGCAGCACCTCCTTCGCGCAAGCCTTCAGGGCATGTGGCTTTCTAGTTCTGTGATGCGCGAGGTGGAGGGGGGTATGTGGGAGAAAGGGGCCACTTGTCACCCTTCTGGGGTCAGTGTCTGGGGAACATGACCAGGATACTGGTGATGCCAGAGAAGTAGGCTGCCTGGTCCTGCTTTGTCATCTTCCCTGTGTTTCTGCCGAATGCTTGTCCTCTGGTGCTTGGCCCACAGGTATAATAACAAGACATACAGGGTAGATGATATCGACTGGGACCAGAATCCAAAGAGCACCTTCAAGAAGGCAGATGGCTCGGAGGTCAGCTTCCTGGAGTACTACCGGAAGGTACGAGGCCAGCCCTGCAGGCCTGTCACCTAGCTCCCCCATGAACATGCACACCACACACACTCCACTGGGCAGTATGGTGCCACGATGAGAAGCACCTCCCAGCTTCCCTTCTCTAGCAGAAGGAAAGACCAAAGTTGAACTTGGCATAGGGAGACAGACAGGTGGTAAATGTGCTGAGTAACAGCTCACTTGGATCCTTTGTGCTGTAGGCAGCATTTCAGCCAACTTCATCTGGGGCCCAGGGTCACAGCTGGTCCACCTTGGCACCCGCTGTGCTAGTATCCTGTGGGGAACTCTAGCTTTGGATTCACATGTGTAAGGTTCAAATGGGCTTTTTGGGTTTCTGGGAAGTCTCCTGACCCAGCCTTGTGAAGGAGGGGCATGGTCATTACCACACCAGCAGGGTCAGAAGGTAGCAGAAGAGACTGCTGGTGGGCAGAGAAGAGTGTCCACACGGGAGTGCTGGAGGGCAGCAGACATGCTCTGACCTGCAGAAGACCACCTGCTTTGACCACCGTATTACCAGTAAAGGAAGTTATCTCTCGAGTACTGTCAGTTCATTCCTTCAAACCTGTCTTTAAAACCTGTCTGAAACATATTTTATTTTTGTACCTTCATTGGAGTGTTTTCTGTTCCTGAGAGTCTGGGCACATGAGCTCTTGCCATGTGTGTCCTCCGTGGAAGGTGCACCACCAGCAGCCTTGGGTGGTCCTCAGCTGCCTGCTGGGACTACTGCTCAGGGGCCTGGGAGGGACAGGGGTCATCACAGCTTCTCCTGCTGCTGTCCCCAGCCTCCACACTCCCAGGGACTCCAACTATACCTGTTTAAATCCCTGTAGTCAGAAGTGGCTGTGGGGACTGAGCTGTGCCTTTTAGTGGTCACTGTTGGGGATGGGAGAGGTCAGTGCTTGTCATCAGCAAATAGAGACGAGAGCAGCTGGAAATTGGGTGTCAATATGAAGTGAGGCCAGGGGAGACAAGCCACCTGCAGGTGGTTCTCTGCACGTCACCACTGCTGCTGCTCTGCCCAGCACCCTGGGTGACCTCCAGCCTTATTCTTGGGCTTCAGGGCGTGGGTAGTTTCAGCCCAGGTATGTCTTTACTCAGCTGCCTCCTTGTTCTAAGTGTCTGGATGTCTCAGACACTGCGTGAGGTGTGCCCAGCCCCTCTATGCATGCAGGGATGGCACCCCAGCAGGGACTTCCTGGTCACACCCAGTGCTGTGGAAGACTGCAGAGGGCTGCTGTGCTGGTTACTGCAGTGCCACCATCTCGTCCCCCCTTCCCTGGTTTCAGGCCTGCTATTGCCTTTGCTCCCAGGCTCTCCTGCTGTGACATGTTTTCACTCTGATATTGCCCTTCTAAGGCAGCGAGGCTGCCCTTCCTGCTGTGTGGTCCTCAGGACTGGTTGCAACCCTCCTGACGACCACAGGCTCTGCCAGACTCCCTTTGCTGTGCTCTGCCTCCTTGGCCCTGGTGCTGACCTGGATTCAGCTTCTGGTGCCTTGGGATGAGGGTGGCCCAGGGGTGGTGTACCTGGTTAACTGTGGCAGACACAACTAATGGGCGAGGCTGGGGGTGGGTGTTTGATAGGTCCTTGGGACTTTTGGTGGACATGCAGGTGCAGTGGTGAGTGGTCTTGGGGAGAAAGGTGAAATCTAGAAGACATTGGAGCAGAAGAGGGGGGTTTTCGGGGTAGTCATCAGGGCCAGGAACCTGAAACAGAAATGAGTGCTGTGCTTCAGGTATAGGGGAAGTATAGTAGGAGCTGGCAGGTAACTCTTGACCTGGATGGCAGGGCCAGGCTGGAACCTGGTCCCTTCATTCAGACTGGAATGAGGCCCAGGTAGGTGTCTGGGCTCTCGAAGTCAGTCATGGCTACGCCATGTTCCTCCCTCTCTGTTCAGTGGGATTGTGTGAGTTTTTAAAAAGTGATTATAAATTAAGTGGGATGTTAAAGATGTGGGGGCTCCAGGAAATGACAGGAAGGAGAGTCTGGATGACACAGGGAAGGAGCTGAAGTGAGAATTCAAGTGGTCTTTGGAGGGTCTGGGATGGTGGAACCGGGCCCAAGCCCATGTATGCTGACATTGTGTCTAGGTGTCGTGAGCATCTGTACTTTTGTCCCCCCTTCCCAAGTTGGAGGCAGGGATCGACTCCCCAACTGAAGCCTTCAAAGCCCCCGTGTGCTGAGGGCTCCTCGCCTGCACTCCTGGAGATCCCACCAGGGTGTCCCTCTCAACCACGGGCCATTTGTCCACTCTGCTGAGCTCGAAACTGCTCTCCTGGCTGGCCTAGTTTGTGGGGAGAGGAGAGGTGATTAGTCCCAGTAGAGTTAGAAGTGCATGTTCATGCTGTGCTTGAAAACCACCCTGCCACTTGGCCTTGCTCTTGCCCTTGCCCTTACCCTTAATTAAGAGTCAGAGTCACACCTCTGTCTCCAGGTGACCTGTCCCTGGTGATCACCTCCCCTCTTCCTGTCCTGAGCAGCAGTATAACCAAGAGATCACCGACCTGAAGCAGCCAGTCCTGGTCAGCCAGCCCAAAAGGAGAAGGGGTCCCGGGGGCACGTTGCCTGGCCCTGCCATGCTCATCCCTGAGCTCTGCTACCTCACAGGTAGGCTGCCCAACTCCTGGGCCACTGTCCCAGAGTACAGCCACTCCCCAGGCTCCTTCACCTGCAGCCCTCCTAGCAACCCTGTGGGGGTGGCTTCCCCTCCTGGGCACCCCCTTCCCAAACCTGCCTTGCTTCAGAGCTCGGTACAGGAAGTTCACCCCTCTGTGCTTTGTGTGCAGGTCTCACTGACAAGATGAGGAATGACTTCAATGTGATGAAGGACCTGGCAGTGCACACACGGCTGACTCCTGAGCAGCGGCAGCGGGAGGTGGGCCGCCTCATTGACTACATCCACAAGTAGGTGCCTGGCGCGGCCACTGCGTGTCCACAGGGTCTGGGCTCCTGTGCGGCCTTGTTGCAAAGCCTGTATTTTGCTCCTCAGTGAGCCAAACACTTTGAATAAAGCTTCACTTCAGTCCTATTGGGAGAAGGGGCTGGCTAGAGGAGGGGGCGTTGGGGCAGATCTCTGCCCTACGTAAGACTTGCTCTGAGCAGCAGGAGTTTGGGTCTCAGGGTTCTAAACTGAAGGTGTCCTGGAGAGAAGGGGAGGAATGGGGAGCTTGCCCTGCGCAACCTCAGCTGAGGCAGCCCTGAGTGCACTCTGCACACGTGTCCACTGGGGCTCAGCACGAGCTTGTTTTCCACTTGCAGAGATGACAACGTGCAGAGGGAGCTTCGAGACTGGGGGTTGAGCTTCGACTCCAACTTACTGTCTTTCTCAGGACGAATTTTGCAAGCTGAAAAGATTCACCAAGGTGGAAAAACAGTAAGACAGTTTTTAAGGCAGTGGATCAAGTGAGACATAGGCCAGACTAGGGTGAAGCTAGTGGGCATAGCCTAAGCACCAAACTGGCCCTCTGGTGAGTTGTCACCAGCTGCCACATCGTCATGACCTACACACACCAGAGCACTCGGCAGCCCTGGGACCTGGCCTAAAGGGGACTTGGCTGTTTTCTCAAGTGACCCCAATTACTGAGATAAGGTGCAGCAGAGCAGTGTTATCTGACTCGCACGTCATGTGTCCCTGAAGCACAACTTTTTACATGGAAAACTACAGATCTAATTGATGTTCTGTGTGGACAGTTTGTAGATGTGTGTGCTGTTGTACCTTTCACATTCAGAAAGGGGAAAGCACGTATTCTGGAAGATCTTTTATGTAATCATAATGTTGCAAATTCCCAATACTTTAAATCATCTTCTAGCCAACTCTGCCCTTCCACTGTCACAGCTGGGAGCAGCATTGTCAGATAATGGAATAGTGTGATGCAGTCATTTCTGATGTCCTTTGTAGAGATCACAAAAAGATGTGTCCCTCCATGGGGACCCTTGGGGAGCAGGCCAAGCAGTGGCATTGTCCCTGAGGGCCACCATAGGGCCACTGCCGCCTCTGCCCAGCTAGCAGCTGGGTTATAGCTTGGTTTCAACATCAGACACTCAGTCAAGTAGTTTGACTTTCAAGTCTTATTTTTTGTTTTTCGTAAGAACACCTGTCCTTGAAAGACTTTGGCAGAGAAGAAGGCAAGTTCACCTGAGGCACCTGGGCAGTGCCTGGGGGAGCTAGTGAAGTGGCATGGGTGCACTTGAAACAGGTGCCACTGTCTTCCGGGCACATTTGAGTGTTTCCCCCTCAGGTGTTTCCTCTGCTGCTGGCTGCAGCTCAAGCATAGTGGCCTAAGGGTCACAGTAGCTGTGGCAGAATCATGAGGACTTTCTGGCTGTGTCCTCGGGAGTACACAGCAGGCTCACAGCATCTCTGAACTTTTTTCTAGTTTGACTACAATCCACAGTTTGCAGACTGGTCAAAAGAAACAAGGGGCGCACCGCTGATCAGCGTCAAGCCACTGGATAACTGGCTGCTCGTCTACACGCGCAGGAACTACGAAGCTGCCAACTCGCTGATCCAAAATCTTTTCAAGGTGACACCAGCCATGGGCATACAGATGAAAAAGGCAATCATGTAAGCAATCACGTCACTTCTTAAGAAAGTGAGGCATCGTTCCCGGAGGGGTGGGGCTCAGAGCTCCCAACTGGTTATGCTGAAGAGTCCCCAGGGCTCCCGGGGATGCTCAGGCAGGACAGATTGCACTGATGCTGCCAGCCTGGTTCTGTGCAGCAGCCTCTTGCCTAACAGGCAGTTCTGGGCATTTTATTTCATATTCTGTGCAGAAATGTGTCGCGAGTTGCAGCCTCTAGGACAGTTGTATGCGCAGCGTGACCTTTGCTTCCTTTTCTGAATGTCGGCCTGTGTGCTTCCACTGCAGGATTGAAGTGGACGATAGAACCGAGTCCTACCTGCGCGTCTTGCAGCAAAAGGTTACATCAGATACCCAGATAGTAAGTGGCCGCTGGGCCTTGGATGCGCTGGGTGGGGCATGTTCAAGTGACGTCTGCAAGTCCTGGAACTTGGAGCTCCTTCTCCAGGCGTCAGCCCTGGGCCCCCAGATGAGCCACAGAACATGCCCTTCCCTCCACATGGCAGCTGATCTGGTGCTGCTATGTGCCTGGGAACCTGGCACAGGCTCTGCCAGGGATGAGGAAGGGGAGGAAACAAGGCTATCTTAAGTTTGTTCTGACTCGAAGGCTTTGATTATCCTAGAAAATTTTGGGAAAAAGACAAAGTGGGTCAGTGGTGGTGTTCCACACAGGCGGCAGTGTAGCTACGCAGAAATGGGCAGGGACTGCCCAGGGCGCAGCTTGCGGCTCCCAGAGATTGTGAAGATCAGCATCCAGGCCACCAGGAAATCCAGGGCACTGGGGCCCCACTCCTGAGAGGTGTCCCCTTGGTCTTGGTTCAAGTGTCTGTGTATGACCAGCCCCTGGGGGGAGTGATGTAAGAAGGTGTGGAGCAGTGTGCTGTCTGAGGCTCCTCAGTCATGGCATTTGGCCCCTGCGAGCTCTGGAGGGGCAGAGGACATGGCAGGTGGTCTTCTTGCATCCCTGGTTTGGACTTGAGCAGTGTTGGCTTTCCTATTCCTGTTGCAGTCTGTAGTGGGGGCAGTCAGAGTGTGAGGTCTGGCGCTGGACCCTGGCCTGTACCCTGGCCTGGCCACTGGCGTGACCCTGGCAGTGCCTGGGTGGCATCTCCACACATGAAAGCACTGGAGGCAGTGCCCACAGTGGTCGGTCCTGCATGGACTCTGTGAGAACCCAGTGCTGCCAGCCGCCTGGCTCTGCCCCGTGGTCCCACCCACGCCCCTCCAGTGCAGTCTAGAGTCCCAGCGAATCTCCTGAAATCCATGAAAGGAAAATCATCCCCCACTTCCTGGCTGGAAGGCCTTGGGCCACAGGCTTCCTGACACATGTAGTCCACAGGGCACTGGGCTGCAGACACTGTCCCTCCTGCAGAGAGGGTCCTCTTGCTGTGGATGTTGCCCTCTTTGTGCTATGGCCCTGCCTTGGTGGCCTGCGGTTGGCTTGCTCGCTCACACACCCAGACACGCTCTTTTATTGCCTGTATGTTTTCTGGCAAAGGTTTCACTTAAAAATTTGCAGCAAGCTTTCTCTGTTCCAGTGTTCTCTGCACCCAGAAATTCTGTGGAGATGGACATTGTGTGGATCATCCTGTTTGGCATGAAGGGCATGGCCTTTGCAAACACCAGGCTGTATCTGAGTCTGAGTGGTGGGGGCTGGATCCCCCATTCCCACAGAACCTCCTGTTCAGGGTTGGGGGAAGTGATGGCAGGTGAGGCAGGAGGTGGTGGTCCCCTGAGGAACTCCACACTCCAGACCTGGGAGGGGTATTCTGCACTCTGCTCAGAAGGTCCCTTGAATCCAGGCTTCTCCACTTAGCAGACAGTGTGCCTATTCTATTGTCTGGCTGGGTCCCTGCCTTGTCAAGTCCCGAGGCTGCTGTTGCTGTTCATCTCTGGCAGTTGGCAGCTCCTATTTTCTAGTCAGATTCATGACCTGAAACTATGATGGCCAATGCATAGCAGTTTAGTAAATTCCTGTTGCTTTTACACTGTACCATAAAGTTGCAGAGAGCATGTGTGCAGGTTACCACCAGCAGACGGCAGCATGGGGTGAGTGCTATGCAGGAGGGAGAGGGCCTCTTGGGGAGGAATGAGGGTTGGAGGGGAAGCCATGCTGAGCTATTCTAGGAGCCCACATGCTGGCCGTTTCTAGAGAACATCGCAGGGCAACGCCCAGCTCTGGGAAGCTGGACACAGTGCCTCCTGCACCCTGGATGTTCACTTGTAGCCCTGGTAGGCCTCTGACAAGGGACAAGGACATATTCCACATGGCTTTCAGCCCAGGGAAGGGTTGGCTCCATCTCATCAGCCCCTGGTTCAGCCCTTCTTTTTGTCCTTGGATGCCACAGGCAGATAACAGCTGTGTTGCCTGGAACAGTGCACGTGCCCAGGTAGACAGCAACTTTCTTGGAGACCATAGAAAAACAAGGCTCTGGGATCTGTGGGGAGACGACAGTGAGTTCATGAGCTGGATTCAGCTCCAAAACTTAAACCTGCAGCCCTAGAATTTGGGTGGTGCATGGAGATGTGGTGCTTCACCTTGGCCTCAGGATGGTCCACGGACTTCTAGGAAGACTCCTGCCTGGGTCAGGTGACCCCAAGCTTTCAGGATCGTAAGCCGTGGTCCTACATGGACTGGAGTAACTAGACTGTGTCTGCTTGGGAGTCCTTGCCAGCTAGCGCTGTCCTGAGTCCTTCCAGGCTGGTCCTGGAGCATGCCTGGCTCCATGAGTGCGTCTAAGGACGTCCCACCATGGCCACACAGTCAGCTTGACAAGCTCTCTGCCCTGGGCCAGCTGCCATGTGCAGGCCTGGATGTTGTTGCTATCCTACTAATGAGCTACCTGACAGACACCCAGCAGAGCTTGTGCAGGTGGACCTCACAGTCTGCCCCTGAGCTTGCTGTCTGCTCTCAGCCCAGTCCTAACCTTCACACTCCTGGCTGCTTGTGACGAGGTCATCCCCTTGTTTGTAGGTTGTTTGTCTGTTGTCAAGTAATCGGAAGGACAAATATGATGCCATCAAAAAGTACTTGTGTACGGACTGCCCCACCCCAAGCCAGTGTGTGGTGGCCCGGACCCTGGGCAAACAGCAGACGGTCATGGCCATCGCCACCAAGATTGCCCTGCAGATGAACTGCAAGATGGGCGGTGAGCTCTGGCGAGTGGACATGCCGGTGAGCTGGGCTCGTGGTGGGCGAGATGTTCAGTGGGCATTAAGAAAGGCGCATCTTTTTTCTGTGGTGCCGTTGTTCAGTTGTTTCTAAAACAGCGATATTCATGTTAAAGCTGAAGCTGGCAATGATAGTTGGCATTGATTGTTACCATGACACCACAGCTGGACGGAGGTCAATTGCAGGATTTGTGGCCAGCATCAATGAAGGGATGACCCGGTGAGTGAGACCCCATGTCGCCATGGGGATGGACGCTATGACAAGACAGGTGAGTCCTGAGCTGGGCCCTGCTGCGGGCCTGTGAGTACATTCTGCTTCATCCTGGTGGAAGGAAAGGGCAGCACCTGCCCACCCTGCCCTCCACTGCCCTCAGTACCGTGCTCAGAGGCATTCTGGGTCGCATGTCCTTTCATCTCAGTAAAGGTGGCCCAGTCTCAAAATTTCCTGGTTAGCTATTTTTATTGGCCACTGAGATGGGACTTCAGATTTCCAATGTAGAGAAAACAGTTCACTGGCCACTTGTATTCCTGCACTGTAGACCCACTCTTCAGGGTTCTCCTGGGAACTGAGTGGATTGCCGGGTGCAGAAGCTGTCGGCATCACTGGTGGGTGGGTGCCAGCCTTGATCTTGAGAAGAGCAAGACCCCTAAGGGTGACTTCTCAGGAGCAGGGCAGTGGGATTCTGGCTTATCTCCTGCTTTCTCCCCAGCACAGGGAAGTACGTGGTTGGTTTTTAATTGGAGAAAACTTATTTTGAGAGTTACAAGGGATTTAATGGTCTCCTGCCGCTTCTGCTTATTTATTTAAGGAGACATTAGGAGACCCCTTAAAGGAGGTGGCAGACATGACACATGCCCCTGAGAGCAGGTAGCTGTAGAGCAGCTGGGAGGGGAAGCTAGAGGCTGTGGGCCTCACTGGTCACACTTTTCCCTGAACAGCTGGTTCTCACGATGTGTCTTTCAAGATCGTGGACAGGAGCTGGTAGATGGGCTCAAGGTGTGCTTGCAAGGTAGGCCTGCGCGCTCCCTTCTGTCCTGGAGCATACTCAGGAGCGAGCCCTGGGCTGGTGTCTTGGGAAGTGTGCCCAGGGTGGGGGAAAGGCTGCGTCCCCGGCCCACTTGTGATGGCCCCATGCTGCCCACAGCGGCTCTGAGGGCCTGGAACAGCTGTAATGAATACATGCCCAGCCGCATCATCGTGTACCGGGATGGTGTCGGGGACGGCCAGCTGAAGACCCTGGTCAACTACGAGGTCCCACAGTTCCTGGATTGCCTCAAGTCCGTTGGTAGAGGCTACAAGTAAGCACACCAACAGGCCCGCCATTGCTGTCACAAATTTACCCTTTAGTCTTTGAAACTGTTTCATCTTGGGCAAAGGTAAGTGACCGCCACACAGGGCTGCCTTCCAGCACTGGCTGGCGAGTTTGTGGCTCCCGTGCCCTGGCTCATGGGCACAGGCCTCTGGTGGGACGAGTATTGTTGCACACTGTCCTGGAGTTTCCGTGGACAGTGCTGTAGTAGGCAGCAGGGGAGAGCACTGTGTCCAAGACAAGGGTCAGGTTGATGCGGCATCACCCTGTGAGCGGGACAGGGGAGAGGCTCACCCTGGCCACCGCAAGGAGCAGTGGAGAGTACACAGTACTTAGGAGCTCACAAAAATAGTAAATAGTGCTTCCAGGAAAAAGCTTCACCTTTGTGTATAAAAGAAAAATAGTGTCGGATTATTTCTCACTGCTGAGAAACTTGGTCTGCGTGTCAGAGTTTTTAACTTATTCTCTGGGACCACGATGTCTGTCATTGGTGGACATATCAGTCCGACCCTCTGTGGAGAAGCATCGTGGTCATCTGATGTGGGGGGAGTGCCTGATGTAAGAACAAGTCAGAAAGGCATTGGTGTCACGTCCAAGTCGGCTGAACCTTCCTTGTGCTGTCACAAGACCAGCGTCACCTACCCAGTGCTAGCTGCTGAGGCAAGTGCTTATTTTGGGTATTCTAGAGTCCTGTCAATAGTCACCATAGACCCTGCTCGAAGCCCATCTCGAGGGTGGACAGGCTTGAGGGCTTGAGATGGGCCACGGTTCTTCAGCACGTGGGTCTCATTGGGCCCTGGTGTCACGTGGGTCTCATTGGGCCCTGGTGTCGGCCCTGGTGCCATGTGCAGAGCCATCGTGGGGATGGGGGCAGGACTGGCAGCAGCAGAGCTCTGTGGGCCAAGGGTGGTGCTTCTCGGTCCCCCGCTGACCTGCTGCTGAGGAAGTCAGTCAGGTCTGGCTGGACGTCAGTTCCCATGTGGGCTCGCAGACTCCTCCCTGCTCGGTTCTCACTGGAGAAACTGGAGTGCTGAGTCAGGTGTTCCTGGAGCCTTTGCTGAGCAGCCCATCAGCTGGGACCTGAGGTGTCCAGGCCCCCAGGGACCTGCATTCACCTGCAGTAACAGAGGCACCGCCCATCCTGGTGTTGGCCAAGAGCTGCTAGGAACAGTCGTCTCCTGAGGCTTTGTGTGTCCTTGTCACCGACTCCTGCATGGATTGTGTGCACACAAGTGCCCCTGGCCCAGGGGCAGAGGAAAGGGGCCTTTCAGAGGTGCCAGGCCAGGGTTGCATGGGAGGATCAGGGACAGGCCGTGGGCTCCAGCTAGTAGTGTGGTTCCGCTCTGTGGGAGAGCCTTCTGGGCCTGTGTGCATAATGCGGCCCACTGATGGGCCCTGAAACAATGACCAGGAGCATCTGTCGCCCCTGCAGCCCTAGCATGCTGGGAGCTAACGAGTTTGGAAAGTGGTGGGTTAGACTTGAGGCTGCGGATGGAGCCGCCTGCCAGGTGTCCAAAATGAGGAGCTTTTCTACACAGTAGGAAGTACCCACTGCAGAGTGTCCTCTGGGCCTGACAGGGCTGCCTGTGCTCTGTCCTAGGCACACTCGCTGCCTGGCCCTACCTGCACTTCACTCCTGGCCCTTGGCCCTGTCCAGGGCATGATGGGAAAGGGACAAGCCTGTCACAGGAGTGCCTTAGAAGTGGGATGCACTGATTGTGATCATGTCCACCCTTTGAAGCCCTAGGCTGACGGTGATCGTGGTCAAGAAGCGTGTGAATGCCAGGTTCTTCGCCCAGTCTGGAGGACGACTTCAGAACCCACTTCCGGGAACAGTCATCGATGTAGAGGTCACACGACCTGAGTGGTGAGTGCTCCGATGCTCGGCCTCTGTGAGCTTGGTTTTGTAGCCATTAGTGGACAGGTCCTGTCTCAGGCCTGTACCCTACCTCCCACAGACACCTGTTTTTCAGGTACCTTGCTCTGACATGTCCACTGAGGCTGGGATTCCCTAGTGTTGGGCCTCAGAGCACAGCTGCTGGCCCGCTGCCTCTGGGAGCCTTGCTGTGCATGTTAGCTGTTAGCTTTTCTCGCTGTGACCCAGTGCTCACCAACAGCCTGGGGGAGAGGTTTATCCTGGATCTGTCCTCAGCGGTCAGTCTGCGGTCAGTGGGCTCCATTTCTCTGGGCCGAGGCGAGGCAGCAGCACATCATGGCAAAAGAGCATGGTGGAGGAAAGCAGTGAGAAGCAGAGAGCAAGCAGGTGCCAGGGACGAGTCGGTCCCCAGTGGCATGCCCCAGTGACCACCTCCTCCACCATGCCATGCCACACCTTCCTGCAGAAGTCCTTTCAAATTATTAGTCCTTCAACTGGCTTAACCCCTGATGAGGTCACAGTCCTCGTGATCCTGTCACTTCACCCCTGAGCACCCCTATGTCGCCTCATGTGAGGTTTCCAGGGCACATCTTGCGCCCAGACCATGATATCATCTGTGGCATTACTCACAGGCAGTTTAAGGACAGGAACCTCTCGATGTGTGACAAGCATGTAGTTTCTGAAGGTGAGACGGCTACAAGGAGAGGGGCTTGTGCAGCTGCACTGTGTGTGAGGCCCAAGTGCCAGCCCAGGGCCTCTGTCGGGTCCAGAGCGCTGTTGGTTTTTGGTGTAGCCCGTAAAGCTCCCAGTAATAAGCTGAGTCTTCACCACGGCAGCCCCTACGGGAGGGAAGAGGAAAGGGGTCTGTCTTTCCCGGCAGGGTTCGCAAGCCTGTGTAAAGAAGGCAGCCCCGGGGCTGGGGCTGAGTGGTAGAGTGCTTGCCTAGCATGTGAGAGGCCCTGGGTTTGATCCTCGGAACCACATAAAAATGAATAAATAAAAAGGTATTGTGTCCAACTATAACTAAAAAATAAATATTTAAAAAACAAAGGCAGCCCTGCTCTGGACAAAGCCAGGCCCACTGCAGTTTGCATACAGAACACTTCTGTATGGACGTGAGGTTACTGCTGGGTGTCCCAGATTCTGAACGAGAGGTGACAAAGACTATAGCACCCCAAATCTGATGCATTCCTAGCCCCAAGTGTTTTGAATAAGGGACATTGATTTTAACCTGTACTAACAATTTGGACAGGTGATATTAAAGACTGTATTCCATTTAGTCAGCTAGTTAACACTGTAACATGACAATGGACACAGTTTTTACTTTGAAATGTGCTGTTTGGGTATGCCACTCTCAGGCAGGTGCTTTGGGCAGTTCGGTAGGGTGCCGCTCTCGAGCAGGTGCTGTGGGCAGTTCGGGAGGATGGCACTCTATCAGAGGCACATCATCAGGCAGCAGAGTCGGGCTGAGGCTGACCTGGCCAGTGAGCTCCTGAAGGCTGTGCCAATGGCCCCCTATTTTCTAACCCAACGGCTTGATGCCAGAGCCCAAACAGGCTGTCTGGACGGGCAGGGAAAAGTCCAGGTGGGGTCGTGGAGTATGCCACGCTCCATGCTCTGCTCCAGGTGCGGTTCCAACCCTCGTGGCGGCTGGTGTCATTCAGCACATGTGACGGGCACCTCGGGTGGACTCTGGGCCTCACTGGCTTGTGGCATCGGAACAGGCTTGCACAGATGGGAACTCGGGCTGATCTCACTCTGCCCTGGTGTCTGTCTGTCCCTTTTGGGCAAGTCACTTGCCATTTCTGACTTCCTTCTATCCCAAACAGAATCTACTGTAGATGATCCTGACATTCTAACATCTCTAGTTTTATGTCTCTTGGGAGGACACAGGTAACTGCAGAACCCTTTCCTCTGTCTCCACCTGGTCAGATGACAGCATCTCTATACTGATGTTTCATTGACGGCAAGACATGAAAACACCCTACGGTTAATTTCCCATGTTGTGTTCCTTGGTTTCATTCCTCACTTGGGTCTTATGCAAGTTCTATTTATGGTCCTTTACACACTTCTCTTTTAATCGGTGCTCTAAACTCTTACTGATGAAAATTAGTTACATTTTTGTTAAATAGCCATGGGTACAGTAAGAGGCATGGTCCTGGGTAGATGGCATTTGGGAAGTACCCCTGCCACAAGCCCCCTCCACGCCTCCGCACAGGGTCATGGCAGACGTTAAGTGAAGTTGCCTTCTGAACACCTTCTCATGGAAGCCTGTCCTTGGGCCTCGGGGAGCTGCTGGGATCTGGGCCCCTTGGGCAGCGTGAGATGGCAGGACCTCTGGGGGAAGAACAGCACAGCTCCGCCGTGGCATGCGAAGACGGCAGCCTTGCCGGCATTTACTGCACACAGGTATGACTTCTTCATCGTGAGCCAGGCTGTGCGGAGCGGGAGCGTGTCCCCGACACACTACAATGTCATCTATGACAGCAGTGGCCTGAAGCCCGACCACATCCAGCGGCTGACCTACAAGCTCTGCCACATCTACTACAACTGGCCGGTGAGCGGCAGGGGTGGGGCGGGTGGGTAGGCTCCTGAGGCCGGGACACAGCCCAGAGCGCCATCCAGTGACGGCTCCTCTCCCCGCCACAGGGTGTCATCCGTGTGCCCGCGCCCTGCCAGTACGCGCACAAGCTGGCCTTCCTGGTGGGCCAGAGCATCCACCGGGAGCCCAACCTCTCGCTCTCCAACCGCCTGTACTACCTCTGACGCGAGGCCGCCGGGCCTCCCTGCCGCAACTCCGGGATTTTAAATTTTTATTTTTTTTTAGCTATTATCTTTCTAGATGAGAAGGAAATTAGAAGATCTGAGTTTTATTTCTAGCATTGCTATTTAACTTTTTCTTTATTTTATAGGTAAAAAATTAAGATTTTATATTTTATCTTGTTTTCAAAAGTCTGTCATGATGATTTATTTTTAAAAAAATGTGGATATAGCACTTTGTATAGTTGACAGACTTTCTCTAAGTGTTGGACTTGCTTGGAAGTACTCTCAGGAGTGACCAAGTCCTACCTGTAAACCAGTATTAGCTTTATTTTTGAAATACTTATTTTGAACCTAAGGGAGGACAAAAAGGCATAAAACAGGGTGCTAAGTACAGTCGTAGGTAGGTTTTATTTGGGTATCTGATATCTCATGTTTTAAAGATAAAAGCTACCATTAAATGACCTACACAAATTAACATGCTCATTTTTTTCTTCTTTTTGGAGTTAGGTAGTATGGGGGTTTAAAAAAAAAAATTGGAAAGTTTTAAATTTTCATCCAAGAAAATATTTTAACATTCTTTAACAAAAGAGGTAGTGGTGAAGTTCTATATTAACATGACTATTTATTTCATTTTGCAACCAGGACATTATTCTATTTGTTGTAAAATAAAATAAAATTGCTCGACATCCTGAGTAACAATACAGCCTTGTGTGGGCAGTGTGCGTGTCCTTTCATTGCCCTGAGCAGTGGACAGGGCGATGTGCACGGGGACGCCACTGCTTCTCCACCAGGAGCTGGGCAGTCATAGCTGCAGTCCAGGTGAGGCTGGGCCGCGTGTAGTGGGCTCACTGTTAGCATCTCTGTGTTTGTAGTTCTTTCCAGCAACTTTTGCAAAGAGGAGGCTTGAAATTAATTGGTGCCGGTCGGGGAAGGCTGCAGACTCTGCTTGCAGGTGCCACGTGGGCCTGAACTGCAGTGCCACCCGTCATTCTCTGAAGTGGCCTGTCTGAGCCACACTGGGCCAGATCTTTCGCGCTGGTGCCTTTAGGATTCAGCCTCATTGATGTGACGGGGGAAATGTTTTCTGTTCCCCTTGGTCATGAAGCACTGTGGGGGGCTGGGATCCAGGCTGCTCAAGTGAGCATTATATGATGCATACGATGACGCTCCAGAGGCAGGGACACGCCCTCAGTGAGCAGGCCCTCGAGCCATGGAGAAGGGAGGGAACTCTCACCTTATGGCTGTGGAAGATGAATCCAGAGTGGTCATGTTTATTTCAGGATTTACTTAACGGCTAGTCAGCATCTTGGGTCATTAAACTCTTCTGAGAAGACTTAACGCTGTACCATAGAGGCAAAGGTCTTCCTGTCTTCAGAGCCATGAGAAACTGGTGACATTTCTGGAAATGTTGCCATTGTCCGTCACTGTGTCAGTGAAGACTGTGTGCAAGAGGCAGAAGGGCCTGCTATCCTCCAACTCCGGCATGGCTTGGCCGCCTCCTCTCCCGGAATCACAGTCGGTGCCAGGCAGACCCAGAACCAGGGCTTCTGGGGTGTGACCAGGGGAATGGAGAGTGGGCAGATACTCTTGGGAAGATGTGTAGGACCTGGCTCTTGTCCCTCTTGCCTTGGCTTTAGTTGGAACCTGGTGACCTTCCTGCATGAGGTGACAAGACGGTCACCAGGGTGAAGGTGTAAGTTTCAGCCCTGCCCAGGAGAAGGATGCCCTGTGGTAGGGTAGGAAGGCGGGATGGCCCACAGGACCTCCTCTGGTCTTGGAGTCTGGCCCCACAGCACCCTGAGGGGGAGACAGCCCAGCGGCCTCTGGGCCACGCCCTGACGTGCAGGGGACTGGCTGTGACCCCTGCAGAGCTGCCTCCTTGTGGACGTTCAGGCCGGAGATCACAGCCGTCCCTGGGTGCCCTACCTGCCACCTCAGGAAGCCGGTTCCCACTCACCTCGCAACCCACTGAATGCCACCTCGCTGCTGGCATGTCGTGCGGCCACCTGGCGGTGTGCTCTTGCCTCTTCTCCACTTGGCCCTCAGGAAGGCAGCCCAAGTGGGCAAAGCCCCACATCTGCCTGTGTCCCACGGGGGCTCCTGCCTCCCTGGGGAGCACAGGCATGGGCAGGCCTGTGGGCTCTGGCCTGGCTGCTCCAGGGCACCTGCTTGCTGCTGGGCACCTCCAGCACGCACTCCCAAGACCCCCTCAGGCCTCAGCTATCATATGGCCCCTGGGCCCCACCGTGCAGAGGGCCCCCTGCTTGGCCTCTGTCTTCCAGCCTTTGTGCCTGTTGAAACTGGGACCCCCAGCTCCAGCAGTCAACGGAGCCCCTACAGGCAATGTGTGCATTCAGCTCCCTCTTGTCTTCCCAGTGTTGAGATGATGCATGGCATATGAATGCCACCCGGGACGGCCCACCAGCCCCCAGTGCTCCTCCAGGTCGGCTGAGGACTCCACTGCAAACAGTGGTCCTGAGTCCTGGCTGCATAGTAGTTGCTGGAGGTGAGGTCCTCAGTTTGGGAGCACCTGGACGCAGACTCAGGTGGCAGGGGAGGCCATCACAGGGACGACAGGCAGCCCCAAGTGCCAGTCGCCGCCTGTCTCCACACCTGACCTGTGGCTTCCATGTAGTTTCCTGCCTGGCCTGCCCATCTTCCCTGACAAGGCCCAGACCCATCATGCCAAGCTGCAACCGGTGGCAGGAGAGGGACCTCTAGAGAGCCGTGGCGTCTGGCCCGAGTGGAGCAGATGCCATGGGCCTGGGCCTGCCCAGGAAGCGGCCAGCTCGCCTCCAAGGTGGGACCGTTGCTCTCACCCCTCTGCTGGGCCCCTCCCTGCTGGCCTTCAGGCTGGGACAGGAAGTGGCTGTGCTGTTGCTGTGCCTTCTCTTTGGATGGTGCCAGGAACTTCAGCCTCTCAGTTCCATTCTCACGCCCAGTGATGTGCCATGGAGAGTTCACTTACATATGTAGATGAACCCAGCTTGATGAGTTGGGCAAACACACCGTGTCCAGCACCCCAGGTATTGGGGATGTCTGTGCCCTCTTGCACGGGAAGTCCCTGTGTGCCCCTTAAGAAGGACCTTGCCACCTGGACCCCACACCCTGCCTGCCTCCTGCCTTCCCCAGAGTCGCCATGTGCTGACCCCTGGCCCCAGGTGTTCAAGACGGCATTCTAGGCTCACCTGTTGTACCATGGGCCAGGTGATGGCCCATCCTGTGGTCACCTCACAGTTTACTCCCCACCCGTCAGTGGGTATTTGGAGACTTAGAGTTTTGGGGCACCACAGACAATGAAGCATCTGTGCAGGTTTGACCCGAACATGTGTCTTCTCTGGGTGAGTCCACAGGCAGGATCCCAGGTCTATGGGGTGGGCGAGGGCTGCAGCCGCTCCCTCTCCCTGCACCCGCGAGCATTCCACAGCTGCACGTCAGCACCAGGTGCGTGTCAGTCCAGCCTGTGTCATGCTAAGTGGCATGGCCTCATTTTGGTTGTCATCCGCACTTCCCTGGTGACAATGATGCTGTAAGGACGTTCTCCACGCAGGTCTTCTGTGAGGTGCACATACCATGTTTTCCTCACAGTTGCTGGCTTGCAATTCTGTTTCTTGAGTATCATTCAAATAGAAGATGTTTTAAAATCTGGACTTGAGTCCCTTTGTTGGGGGTTTTAAAGACTGGCCATCTGCCTCCATGTGTAGCTGCTGGGATGTGTCCACTCTCTACACAAAAGCAAGAGTGAGTCGTCCGAATCCCCAGAGCAGCGCTCCTGTGCCGAGTGCAGGGACCTGCCCTGGGAGTCCTGGGGGACAGCCTGCAAGGCCAGTGGGGCCCACTCCCACCTGTGCCCAACCACACCTCAGACTTCCTGCGGGTGCACTTAGCACCCTGCCACTGGCAGGCTCCTGGAGCCCTACCTGGGGTGGCTTCAGAGAGTTAACGATTTTTGTTGAAATATTTAGCTTGGGTGAGGCTTACCTGACATTTGCTTGTTACAGAAGTAACATTTCACTGTGGAAATTTCTGGAATTACAAAGCAGAACAAAAACCATGAGATCACTATTGAGAAATGGCCTTCTCTCAAGCCCCCTGCCAGCTCAGCAGCACACTGTGATGAAGACTATGTCTGTTTCTGGAACTCTCCATTCAGTGTTTTTGGATCACAGAAAGCAAAATGCATGTGATTTCTTTTTTAATGAAAATCTGACAGATCCTGATTCTGAGGTTAGTTTATCTGTTTATTATTTCCATTTTCAAATTTTCAGAGTTGAAATAATTTAGAAATATTGAGAAGATTCACCAATACACACACGATGTGTCCTTTGGTACGATTGTGTGCCTTTGCCCTCTGCCTCAGCATGAGCCCGGAGAGACCAGCCGTCCTCTGCTCCCAGATGTGCCCTGGCACCCCTGTGCCCTGGACCCTTGGCTCTGCTCAGGCTGCTCTCATCCTCTCCATGGTGGGGAGTGTCCTCAGTCAGCCTGGTGCTCAGAAAGAGTGACACCACCACAGCTAGCGTGCTCCTGCCCGGGCACCAGCCAGTCCACATGCCTGCAGATCTCTTCCTGGTGGGATTGTGGATACCTGAGAACTTGATGGAACTGGTGTGTTTGACGTGGACAATTGGAATTGTCTCCTGACGCATTCTCCTCACTGTGGAAGCATAGGGTCCCCTCTAAGGGCTTCCCGGAGTGTGCTGCAGCCTGCTTCTATGCATCACCTGCATCTGGCTTGGTTTCCTTTTCTCCTGTACACCTGAGAGGCGGGACCCTGACTGCCTGTGACCTGCTCCCAGAGGCCCTAGCACACTGCAGACACTCACTCCACGTGGCTCCCCGTGAGCCGAGACCCCCCCAGGGCCTCACACAGGAACCGCAGGACAGGGCCTACATGCTGTCAGAGCCACCAGGGAGCAGCCCCTGGGTGGGTTGAGGGAGAGCACCTGAGATCTCAGAGTGGACAGACACCCGGTGCCTCCCTTGTGCTCCGTGACTCCGCATCCTCTCCCCACAGTGATTCCAAGGCAGAGTGCTGGAGCTGGGTCTGGAAGCTCCTGAGAGGTGTGACTTGTCCTCAGCGCCCGCCCTCGGCTCTTGCTGATGAAGAGTCATGCCAGGGACGCAGACGTTGGCAGGGTCACTGGAGTTAGTCCTGGCCTTAAAAACCCTCAGCCCCTCCCCCGCTCGCCTGTCAGTGTGGACGTCTTCTCTTGTCTTTCCGTCCCTTCTTCACAGGGCTGTCCAAAGATGGAGACCACTGACAGTGCAGCTTGGGCCTGGGCTTGGGGACCTCTGGACGCAGGTAGAGGAGTGCAGTTTTGTTTCCCTCCTTTAAAGACCTGAGTGCTTGGCAGGCAGGCGGTCAGATCCGAGATGGGTCACTGAGCCCTGCGTAGATCCTTTTTTCTTTGGTAATAAACACCTTTAGCTCATCTCCAACCTAGTAATTGAGATTGGCATGTCCTCCCTCCGTTCACCTCTGTGCTCCACCCCCTCCCTGTCACAAGTGGACACTACTGAAAGGATCATTCCCTTGCTCATTAAAAAAGTAGTTTTAGCCAATGCACGTATGTCAGCATGGAGTGTGTTCATTACCATTTACCATTTATCAATTATTTGCTTTGGACTTAACAAAAAGGGTATAGTGCTATAACCGTTTCTTTTTTCAATTAACATGCTACTGAGATTTACTCAAATTGC